GGGCTCATCCATGTGGACACGTGACAATGAACCTCCACAAGAGAGAGGGCTGCAGTTATTACATGCTTAGATTGTTTATGACCCTGGAGGGCAGATCACAGTGGATTCGTGCAACTAGATAAAAGTAGCTGCGCACCCACTGGGCTCCTAATGGGTAAGCACACTGGCTCTAGGAAGACAGGTCCCCAACAGACCAAGTGGTCAAATGAAGGTGTGACCTAGCCATCTGATCACAGGAGTGCTGTGTGAGGCCCACAGGAAGACGCAAGTGTGGTGAAAGCTCATGAGCCCTTTTGAGTGACTGCACTACCTGGGTACAATCACTCAAGACAAAAGTACAAGAGAGGCTCCTGAGAGTATAAGGGCCAAAATTAAAGAAAATGATCAAACTAGCCAGTTTCCTTCTCCAGCTAACAGGTCCCCCACAAGTCTCAATTCATCTTTCAGTGGTCCCTATAATCTCACCTCTTCTAAGCATCCCCTCCCTTCTAAATTCTTTACAGGAATTTCTTTTAAAGGTTCAACTTTCTTATCAATCTATGCCATTGACATCTTCTCTTGCTTTATTGTAATTCTGATTTTTTTTTTTTTTTGGTATGGCACTAAGGATCAAACACAGCCTTGTGCATTCTAGGCAAGGAAGCATACCACTGAGCTACTTCACCAGCCCTTTTTACTTTGGGACACACTCACTAAATTCCCCAGGTAGGCCTTAATCCTGTCTCTGCCTCCTAAATACTAAAATTACAGGCAAGAATCACTAAATTTGGCAAGGATACTTAACTCTTAGAAGACATCTCTTCACTATCATGAAGGCAGTTTTAAAGAGCAGTTCTTTATTTTAGCAGGTTTTTATCCTTAAATATAAATGTTTAAAGCTAAGATCATGCCAGGCATGGTAGTGTATGCCTGCAATCCCAGAACTAGGAGGCTGAGGCAAGAAGATTGCTATGAGTTTGAGGCCAGCCTAGGCTGCATATCAAGACTCTGTGTAAAAAAAAAAAAAAAAAATCAAATCAACAAAAAAATAAAGATCATTTCTTTTTCACTTCTTCCCACGTTAGAATCACGGTACATGCTCAATGCAGAGTCAGATTTGTCTCTGCCGGTTCTCAAGATGTTTGCCTTCGAATGAGCTCTTTTAGCTGTGCCAATTTGTCACTTTTTAGTGCTTCCCGGATGGAGTAAAAGAATCCAAAGTAGTGTTCGAAGTTGTGCATCATAAGCAGGACCCCGGCCAGCAGCTCGTTGGTCACCAGCAGGTGGTGGATGTATGCACGAGTGTGATTCTTGCAGCAGTAACAGGAACACTTGCTCACCAGGGGCCTAAAGTCATCCTTGTACCTGGAAGGGGGGGGTCACACAACATTTCAGAAAATGAAGAACATAGGCAATCCACACCCTAGGCTTCTGGTGAGGTGACCAATAGTTAATAACATCAACAGTAAATTTTTGTGTTGGCACCTGCTGAAGATGGCAACATAGATAAAAGTTAACCAAGAACACAATGAAATCAGAAAGACGAGGGAGTTTTCCTCTGACATGTAATCTTCAAGGCTGGGGGCAAAAAAAATGCAGTCACTCACTCATGTTGAATATTATTAGTCACCCTGTAAGAGCAAATAATGTTCAGAGATCCTGTTCTGACACTTCTCTCCCACTTGCTACCAGAAATACAGTGGTATCAGAAGACATGCTACAGTACAACCTTCTATTTCCATGGATTGTTGTGGTTCACAAAGCACCTTCACATGTACTGTCTTATTTCATTTCTGCATCTACTCTTGGAAATGGCCATTTTTATGATTATTTTACAGATGAAGACTGTAGAGATTTATTTATTTATTTATTTATTTATTTATTTATTTATTTTT